CATACCCCATTCTCATTAAGCAAAAATTAATTTCAACCCCCCCTCACATAATGATAATATTCAGGCTAACCCCGCCTCCCTTGAAAACTTGAAAAAGGTCTCCTCCCATTGATTCCCTCATATCTAGTTTACTATTCAGGAATTCCTGTCTGATTTAGCTTTTTTTTTTTGAAGCTTAATTTAATCATACTGTGTTTTATTTACCATACTTTAAATTTGTATTGCATTCCTTTTCTACTGCATGACAGACAGGAAAACAACAGTTCATAGATCAGAACACCTTAGAGTTGATAAATTTGTCAGTTTTATTCCAATGTTAGTATTTATATTGGAACTCTAATAAATCTTCCACTACTTTTCCAGTCTGCAAAAAGGAATGACAAAGTAATGCCTCCCCTATTATGTATTAAATTTTACATCCAACCCCCCCTCTCTCTTGTTCTTGTTCTCTTGTTCAAGTTTGCGGGTTCCCGCGCGAGTTTGTGACGTTGAGGGTGGTGCAGTTTGTTCTAAAAAGAACACATTTAGCTATTTCGATATAACCGCCTGTACCCCACACTTGCGTTCTCCTACCTGATTGTAGCTCTGATATTGCTCAAATCGCGCCCAGACTATATAAAATTAAAGACTACAGACCAGGTATAACAATATTCCTACTTTATTGATACAATGTACTTGATTAGTCAAACTTTATATTTCCCATACAAACTCTCATATCAAGCTTGTACAGCAGATCGTATTGCATACTGTAAAACCCCGCAACTATGAACCTGGATTTTTCCAAGTTAACCTAAAGAGGTTCTTACATAAATGGTAGTTGGCACAGGTTTAAGCTATGTAGGTTCTTAAATAGGTTCTTAGTTTCCAAAGAAAAAAAATACAATATAGCTAAGAGTATTTAGTAGTTCAGTTGACTTGTCTTATATCTGTCTAAGTGTGCAGACGTTTTTTACCGATTTTAGAAAATAGGAATCTGTTTCAAATTTTAGGCTAAACAGAGGGGGCTTAAAAGTCAAATTTTAGCCTAAGAGGTTCTTAAAATCCAGGTTCTTAGTCGCGGGGTTTTACTGTACAGCTTATATAGTACCGGAACCAGGAGCCGATTACTTTGAGCCTTCATCTCCCATATCATATAAGCCCTTGGAGTCAACCCTTTCCGACGAATAATTATTCATAGAAATAGCTTTCGCGGAATATTTTTCACGCCTTCTTAGTAATATCCAATCAGAGCAGAGCTATGATCATACGTCACACGTTGATTCACAGAAGCGCGATTTGAATTGCTGCCAACAATGGTGGTAGCCAGCGTGGAAGAGTTATCTGATAATAGTTCTGATCGTCCATCGGGTTAAAAATATCCGTTTAAAGCCTAATAACAAAAAGAAAAAGGTGATACACTCATGCGACGACTTCAGGTTTGCTTGTAATCTTGACAGTTGGCTGCATATCATAAGTTTCATCACGAACAACCCAGTCCCGGCCCTCGACAGCGGGTAAATAAATATTGAAAGTGAAGCTCTTTAATTACTTTACTTTACTGGTTAACTCACTTGTGCAATGCTTTGGAGCTTTTTACTAATTCCACAAAGGACCACACTTCATCAAGCCACAGTTAATTTTGAAGTAAAAAGTATGTTGTTCCACTTACAGATCGAACAGGGACTGCATCTTTCGATTGCGCGGCGGCTCTAGTTGTGCGAGATCTCAGGTCGCGAATTATGAATGGAGTTTTATAAGCCAATGTGGCTGTGGATGAAAGCGGCTTTTGATAACATACAATCTCAACAGCAAATATTTCAAGGGGACACATCAAACAAAACAAACGAGATGTTCAACAGGAATGAAATCGAATTAAAAGCGAAATTTACTGTTGTGTACCTAACATACTGAGGTTTTCGTTCACACGATACAACAACTGTCGATACAGAATCTACTGAGCCTGGTATTTTTCTTTTTCTTCCTAAGAAACTACGTAATGTGTAAACAAGGAAAATAACAGGCAGTCATAAAATTTAAAAAAGGGGCCAGCCGATGGGGCTAGCGACTTCAAAAGATTAAAATCCTTGACAGAAAGAAAGGTTCTCAGAGGTTTCACGGCAGAGGTTAGATGTTTCGGCATGTCACGACCTCCTGCATATTCCTTTTGCGGTTATTTGAGGTCTACAAGTATATGCTACGGCCATTAAATCTTGTAGCATCTTGAGAAATAGTGTGATTGCCAAACAGTGTTTAATTTCTTCCTGAGTATGATAATTCTGCTCTCAAAGGGTTTTTGTAGCTTTCATGTTTTGTGGCAACTAAATAATAACTTAATATACAGAACCATCAAAATGAATAACAATCCGGACAACATAAACCGATACCTTTCTTCACTTTGACGTTCTGCTTCTTTAAAGGAAATCCTTCAAAATCATGAGGAAAACATCTTGATTTTCGCTGTCCTAGGTTGCGGTAGATAAGATACAGAAGACACGACAGTTTCTACTTAAAAAGGTGCAAAATTGCCTCCGATTTGCCGGTCCCACGATCAGCCGTTACAGACCTTACCGTAAGCGCTCCAATTCCCTTTTAAAAAGTCTGGCTCTCCAACAAAGAGTTTCACTTTTTAATTCTTTGAAAAGCTCCTTTTAAATAAGCCGTTTACGATCAGAGGAAAACGAGGTGCCCACAGAAAAAAATTCTAGTCGCGCGAGTATTTTCGCTACAAAGGCAAGTTATATATCAAATTAAAGCTAAAAGACTAAATTACCTTATAAAAGATTTTATTTGATCGAATTTCAAAAGGCGCTTAATTTTTTTGCTCTCGAACTCAGAGGTATCGAGTTTACTGCTGAAGCTCCAGCCCTTTCGCATTGTTAAATATTCACTTCCTCTTTATTGCATCTGATTGACAGATAAAAGACCCAAAAAAGGGTGTGAGGAATTTTCCGATTTCCCTTTGTAACTCATTTTATGTCAGTTTCTTTGCGTAAATCGCGCTCGAGATTCGACTTTTTAGTTTGAAATGCAATAATTCCGCTAATACGAGACATATGCAAATTTCCTCACTCTCTTTTTTAGGTCTTTAATCTGTCAATCAGAAGCAATAAAAAGGAAGTGAATATTTAACAACGCGAAAGGGCTGGAGCTTCAGCAGTAAACTCGATACCTCTGAGTTCGAGAGCAAAAAAATTAAGCGCCTTTTGAAATTCGATGAAATAAAATCTTTTATAAGGTAATTTAGTCTTTTAGCTTTAATTTGATATATAACTTGCCTTTATAGCGAAAATACTCGCGCGACTAGAATTTTTTTCTGTGGGCACCTCGTTTTCCTTTACCGAGACCTTAATTCTTTGAAAAGCTCCTTTTAAATAAGGGCGATGAAATACACAACATTACGAGCAAAATTTAAACATCCGAACAGTGCTACAACAGCAAACTCGACCTCGTGCGTTGCAACAAAATATAGCAATATTTTAAAGCCAGATTACATATTATTTATATTAACTCGAAACCAGCTTTCCTCGGTTGTAAGGTGAAGGAACAGAGGCAGGAGCTACGGTGATGGAACAAGGAGTAAACTTGTTGGCCAATTTCCCTCTTTCGTCGCCATTTTTCTCTCACTACAGAAATATGCGGACGTCCTCGAAAACACATTAATTTCGCGGGAAGGCCTGTTCTAAAATAATTCTTTACGGGAATGGGTTGACTCGAGGGTACAGCACATATGGAGGCTCCAAGTAATCGGCTCCTGACCGGAACAAATTGTTACAGCAACAATTCGGTTGCAGCCGTTTCCAATTAAAGCGCATTTCAGCATTTTGTGACATTGGTTTTTCTGTTCGAAACCTTGACCCCTGATTCCCTTGCAGCACTACTGATCCCGATCCCGCTTTTTGTGATCCCTGATACCGGGCCTGTAACCCATCATCATTTCGAATAGGTTTCCTATTCAAGGGAAAAACAAAACTAAAAATTTAATGGCAATACAAACCATTATCACTTCCCTAATACGCGAAAAATCAGTTTTAACAGATGATTTGCAACTGGATTTGTTTTCGTGTAGCTAGGCATTTGCGTACCTTAACCTTATACAATTTAAGTACTCTGTCTTAAGGATCACACCAGGAACCCCACGCCAACAAGGGAAAAAATAATGCCCGACTTAAGGATCGAGATTTTCAAAAACTATCTGGAGGCACATAGCTATCTAGCACATATATGGGTACACCCAAAGGCCCCATTTCGTGCCTTTGATTCCTGGTCTCATATACCCCTAGCCTAGGACCGGGCTCCGCAGTGTGGGAAAAAGATGAGAATGAAAAATCGGCGACGGAAGCGGTAGTCGCCCTCCCCAGTCCACCTCTCGGCTCGCTTCGCGTCCCCACGTTTTTTGTTTTGGCCGTTTCACCTTTCTTCCACTGCGGAGCCTGGTGCCAGATCTGTGCAGAAGTTGTAGTACATCGGATGGTTGCTGTCTTTTTAAACAGCCTAAACGGTAAGAACAGTTCAAGAACTATTGTACGGGACATTTTTTCGTTTTTTTTTATGTTAGGTTTCAAGATTAGTTATAGCAAGTATAGTATAGGATTGTGAGTTGTGATCGGCGTGTACTGTACGTCTACCTGACCCGTGAATAAACAAGTTTTGGCCTTTACGCAACTGTTCTCGTCATGTACACGATGATTGTTCGATAAAGAAACAGTCTATCAGCACTGCTTTTGTTAAAATGAATTACAAAATCATGTTGAAACATGGCGAGTCAGTATCTGAATGTAAGCATATTTGTCATTGTGATCGGTTCATTTTTTGTATTTTACTCTGAGTGCATCATAATTCTATGTTATTGACTCTAAGAAAAAAAATCATATGTTCAACTGTTCTACATACTTTCTCTGTCCTATTCGCATCGCAACTCACGGCAGCACTTCCCTTCTCAATGAGATTTTCTAGTATACTTAAATGACCGTGTTCTTCCGTAGCTTGTGGCAGTTGTGTTGTAACTCAACGGAAGGTATCACATGTGATGAAGAGATGGCTACCAAAGTTGTTTTGATAACTGGTTCTTCCAGCGGAATAGGACTGGCCACTGCTGTATTGCTCGCTTACGATACCGAAAAAAGGTTCAAAGTGTACGCAACAATGAGAAATCTTGCGAACAAGCAGCAACTCGAGACAGAAGGTAAAGATTTCCTTGGAGACACCTTGATCGTCAAGCAGCTGGATGTTTGCGAAGACGATTCGGTAAACAAGGCGGTCAAAGACGTAATCGAGCAAGAAGGCAGAATTGATGTTCTGAGTGAGTAAGCATGTAGACAAGATGTCTCGTATTTATTAAATGTGGATGAATGCTGTTCAAGTGGTTTCAAAAAGGAATTCAATACCAGTCACACTGTTTTTGTGCAGTCATACAGCTTCTCTGTAGATTTATAATGTTCGTTATTAAAGTAAATCAGCACTGCGAAACTTCAATTCGATCACGGCCAACTATTTAGATAAACATAATAACAATAACAAGGGAAATTCTTAGAGACTATTTGGCAAATTATAGTCCACTTGGGCCTGACGTGAATGATAAGTGCTGTCAAACAAATTTGTATGGAAATTTCGCTATTTTATTTAACCTCTTGAGAGCAAGTGACTACATGTCGTTGCGTTACGCGAGCGTTTGCAACTAATAATGTGATGGACTGTGATGTGTTGATATAATTATATTATTGAACTGGATTGTACCTCAACATTGCCATTCATCACACCTAAAACATTTGTCTCATGCCTTCCTCCATCCACGTTGGGAAAGGAATTACAAAATGCTTACCATGATACCATGGTGCTGAAAATAACAACCCGGCTCAACTAATGCGGACCCTAGTGAGTACCTAACTTGCCTGAGGGAGGTTGTCTTCACATTTTTTTGCCACCGTTAAACCACATCATGTGTATGTGGTTGCATGTACAGTCAGCTGTAAAAGAAAAGTTGAAGTCGTTTAGACGCATTTATCGTCTGAGACGTTAAAGTTGTCCGGTGTAAAAACGAGACGCATAAACAAAGATGACAACATTGAAGACAAAACCGCAGAACGGTGACACTTTCCAGTCGTTTCTGGACGAGCTGGACATTTAAAAGGCGTCCCAGTTTAGGGCGTCCCCTTTTTGAACAAGACTTTAGTCTTAAGACGGCGTTAACGTCTCTAAAATAAAATCGGCCAATGGCGTCTTTTGCAGCGTGACAGTTCATGTTTGACACTCAACAGTTAACGATTCCCAAATGTCGAATGTGGAGCCTTATTTACAAGGCGTATTGGTTGAATTATAATGAATAATAATAATAATAATAATAATAATAATAATAAATTATAAATGTCTTTATTGCTCATTAGATAAAAATACATGTTACAGGATAAAAAGATTAAAAGTTCAGCTAAATTACAATAGAATAAAAAGATTAAAAAATGCGAAAAACTAGTTACACATGTCTGACATAAAATATCATAAAAGATTGTATTTAAAAATTAACCTATTTACAAATGTGTTCTTATAACGTTCGGTGTTTATCTTGGGCCTTTGGAAGCTTTTACGTCTAAGATTATAGGTTAGAATTATGGGTATTATTAAGTTAGCCAAACGTAAAGGCAGAGCTCCCATACGAAATGATGTACGATTTTTAAAACAAAGTTATCAATTCTTTATTCGTAAAAGAACTGGAAGACAGAGTCGTGCAAATTTCAAAACAAATATTAAATTATTTTTTTCTTAGAATGGTTATGAACTCGAAAACACTTTAGTCTCATATATGCTTCGAAAAAATTGCTTTGTGTCAAAATACATTTTAAAAAATACATAGAACAGTCAGCCAAGCATAAATTTTTCTTGTGATCTCAGCAAAGACCTCAGTTCACATTTCAGTAATGATTATCTGTGATAATATTTTTCTAACATTTTTCTTTGTCAGTTAACAATGCCGGTATGTCTCTCTTCACTGTGTTCGAATCCATTCCAATGGAGTTGATGAAGAAATGTTTCGAGGTGAATTACTTTGGAACTGTACGCTGCACTAAAGCTGTGATTCCATACATGAAAGCAAAAGAGAGTGGTCATATAATCAACATCAGCAGCCATGCTGGAGTAGTTGGATTTCCTACTGCTGAAATTTACAGCTCAACAAAGTTTGCCGTGGAAGGGCTGACTGAATCAATGGCACCAACTCTTCGCCAGTTTAACATCAGGTACTTTGTTGCTAATTGTTATTATTACTTCTTTAAAGAAATTTATTGATAATCTCATACAAAAAAGCATTCAGAGCAGCATTCAGAGCAGCATTCAGAGCATAAACTACGTCGCCATAAACAAAGATTTGGAAAATTACCACGGCGTGACCACAGCTATATTCGACAAAGAGTAAAATTTGTTATAATCATGGTTACAATGACATTGCAGTTGTCATAGCAGCGAAATGACGCCATTACCTATTTTACTTGCAGCCATGTTTCTCGGCACGGGGAACTTTTCTTCCAAAATTTTTCACGGGAACTTTTTCCCCCAATAACCGCCTCGATGTTCGTGAAGTTTAAGCGAAATCTGTGTTGGGAGTTATCGAGATATTTTTGGGATGTGAGTTTTTATGGTTTTAAGAACAGGACAATCTTGATGTTCGGCCGTTATCTGTAGAAAACTAAGCGCTTTTGAAATGCAAGTTCACCTTATAGTAGTTTCAGTCTTTTTTAAAACGTATGTGAAAGATCATGGAGGTAGCTCTAGCCGAATGTTAGAAAGAAGGATTTCATTAGTACTTATCGAGGGCTCCTGTTTTCGGTTTTGTAAACATTTAAACAAATAAGCGAATAATTTTTGAACCGCCTAATCCATTTTTTTAAGAATTTGAAATTCTCGAGATCAGCCGTGGTTTCATATCATCTTTGATTCCATAATTCGCTATTATTTTTTTTTTGTCAGAAATTTCGTGTTTACTAGTTAGAGCCTCTCATTATTCAGAGGTATTGTCTCCAAGTTTCATATTATCGTGGACAAAAATAGCTAACATTTCTGCCTATTTCAAATGTATTGTTAGTTACTGTTGTTCCCGTGAAAATAAAACTTGGAAACAATACCCTGAAAAATAAGAGCACTCACTTGCAGATTGACTAATTCATAGATTCTTGTTTCTTAGGTGCACGATCATTGAACCAGGTCCTGTTGATACTCCAATGAAAGATAGCAATAATTTTATTGAGGGTGTGGACCTGTCATCCGCTGACCCAAAGACCGTGCTTATACGGGACAGAGTGATTAGCCGCTGGGGTACTTTCTGGGCTCAGCCGGATAAGGTCTTGACTGCACCGCAAGTAGCAGAGGCTATAAAAGAAGCGATTCTGAGCGAAAATCCAAACTTTCGCTACCAAACCAATAAGCGTTACTGCCCCGATGAAATTGAGGCGAAACTGGCTGACATAACTGGGAATAAGCCCGTTGATATTATCACTAAACGGTTTTGCGCCGAGTAATGTGTCTGAACAGAGGTAGACATTAAGTCATTGAATGGCATTAATTTCGTAAGCAATTATTGATGTTCTTATTCTACCCCTAAAAATACACTCATCTGATTATTACA